TCACCACTTATTTTTTTCGAAAACGGTTATAGAGATAAAGGGAAGATATCTATTATTAAAATTGTTTTCAAAGAAATATTCTAATACAAAGTATTCAACTGATTAAATACTATTTAAAATGATTAAAAAGTATTCAATAAAATAACTAAAAAATATCCTTTCCCAATACAAAAAAATCTTTTAATTAGTAAAAACATCAAGGATGTTCAAGGTTATCCAAGGTCATCAAAGTATGTCTCCCTATTTATCCTACAATTCTGATAATATTCGCGTCTTTTCTTTATCTCTAACCATTTTCGAAAAAAACGTGGTGAATCTTTTATCAAACTCATCCTATACATGTATATATTGTACATATGTATATAATGTATATATATATATATATATATATATATATACATATACACACACACACACACACACGCATGCACGCACGTGTGCGCGCGCGCACACACACACATACATACATACATACATAAAATTGATTTTCTGAAAAGTACATTAATTATTGCACAAGAACATCATATACTCGCATTATACGAAGTATGAAACTATGAAACTTTTACTTATAGACTATTATCAGGAGTAATGATTCCATATAATTACAGCAAATTTTTTGTTATAAGATTTGGAGACATATTTTATGCTCGCTTCTCGGAATCGATTATCTCGTAAATATACGTAAATAGAAAAATACAATATTATCATATCTCAAAATATACAAGCTCACTGCTCTCTGGTCTTTTACATTCAAACTCCAAAGTCCTATGTCAAATACATCTTTAAAAAAGTATAAAACAAGTTTCTTGCTTGCTATGTGAAAATATATGTGTAGTAGTTTTTAGATATAATAAAATAACTTATTTATTAAGCTTTCCTTTTCATTATGAAAATTGTTGAAAATGTTTAATAATTTTACAGCCGACAATTTTACGTCAAAATTGTCGGTGAAAAACGAGTGTTACATTACATACATTAACAATTCTGAATTTTTCTATCATATTTTCAAAGTATAAAAAGATTAATCAAATGGTTTAATCAGATGGTTAATGTATGATGAGACATAAGATCAATCAAACGTTGACTGATTAAAAATTATGCAATTGTTCGTACAAATACTGCAACTGTTTCTAACAGTTTGTATGTATCTTAGTTTGTATGTATCTTAATGTTAGTTTTTTCAACAAGTTTATCATGTTTCATGTCGTAACAATTAACAAATATGTCAAATAGACCTGCTAAAATATATAAAAACTTTATCGTAAAAGGCCTCTTTTATATGCATATAAGCGTATACTTCATCTTTGCACAAAGAGTGTATGTATATCTATTGATTACAGCAGATAGAAAAGATTGAAGGATTGTGAGTGAAAATAGATAATTAGCATTCACTCTTTCTGACACTCATTCCTTCGATGAGAAACGTGATATAAAGATAAATGATTTTTTACATCCTAGATGATGTTTGGAGATTATCAAAATGTTAATATAATGTAATATCAATGTTGCTCACCATGATCCTATTAGTTGTAGAATTATGAAGAATTCTGCAAATATACTTACACTTCTCAGTTTCGGCTACTTGTTTGGTAAGTATGGAGTTGTTACTAATTTTTTTTATCTTTCGCCTTAATGAATTGGCATCATCTATAAATGATTACACATTAATGAGTAATTTTAATTATAACTTCTCGTTAACATCGCGTACAATTGTTCTAAATGAAGAAAGCTTCATGTATTTAAATCTTACGAATTTTTTTACTGTACATCAATAGTTACTTCAAAAGGAATACTTGCTCAACTCTGAGCAAATTAAGAATTTTTGTTCAGACATTTTTAACCCTAAAATAGACTGGGATATAAATGTACCTCAAAGAAATTTCAAACTACTCTACTGAGCTAGAAGACATTTTCGGCTCGATCCATAATTTATTTTCACTTTTTGGGAATAAGATCAGGCAGGCCAGTACGCCAATCGCTAACTACTAGTTATTGCACAATTGATTATTGCATTAACAATTCACTTAAACATTTGTCCATTCTTCTCCATTTTTCTGTATTTGTGTCAGTGTTTCGTGCAGGTAAGTCAATTCATTTTCTTTGTTAAAAGTAATATTTTTCGTGTATAATTAACGCAATTTAAAAGTATTTTTTAAGAGTCAATAAATTAATTTATGTTATAATTTTTAGATTTTATGGATAAAATCAATCGAATTGTTACATTGCTTTGAATATAAAATATTTTCGTATGCAGCAATACAATAGAACTTTCTACATTTTTTAATACATTTTAATTAAAAAATATATCTACAGAAGTGTAAAATAATTTATTGATTTTTTATTGTTTTTTTATTTTCTAATTTTTTATATCTGTCGACAGTTATAATTACATAATTCTACATTTTAAGAGAGTGCATAATAATTTTTTTTTCATAGCCCAAAATTTTTTCTTTATTAGAACCTTGTTTAAAATTTAATAATTGGTTAATTAGAAAAAAGTTGGCTATTTTTTTATGAAAAACGGCATTTTTGCGTTTTTTTTCGATATTTTTTTCGTCTAAACTAACTTCCGGTTAAGTAAATTGATTTATTTACAGATTTCCAGCATATTAAGATTTCTTTAATAGAAGCCTATTGATCAAAATTTAATTGTAATATTGTTTCAATAGTTGTTTAGCTGCGTTTTCAAGTCCGATAAAATTTCGGCGCACAGTTCAAAATGACTACAAATATGATATATTTGTATGTACATATCTAGTATATATATATA